AACGTTACTTTTGTTAGTTTTTAATATTTTTTCCTCTCTTATTTTTCCCATTATTCACTTTTTTCACTTATGTTCTTTTAGTTCTTTTCTTTTCTTTTCTTCTCTTGTTTTCCTTTGTTTTCTTTTTTTTTCACTTTTCTCACTTATGTACTTTTAGATTTTATTTTATTTTATTTTATTTTGAATTTATTGTTTTATTTTATTTTATTTATTTACTTTTACTTTCCTTACTTATTTTAATTTTGTCGTTTTTATTTATTTTATTTTATTTATTTTTTCACTTTCCTCACTTATGTTCTTTTTAATTTAATTTAATTTAATTTAATTTAATTTAATTTAATTTAATTTAATTTAATTTAAATTGTTTTGTTTTGTTTTTTGTTTTGTTTTGTTTTGTTTTATTTTATTTTTTCACCTACATCAGTTATGTACTATTGGCTTTAATTTAATTTAATTTAATTTTGTTTTATTTTATTTATTTTTTGACTTCCTTCACTTATGTTCTTTTAGCTTTAATTTAATTTAATTTTGTTTTATTTAATTTTATTTATTTTTTCACCTACCTCATTTATGTTCTTTTAGCTTTAATTTAATTTAATTTAATTTAATTTTATTTTATTTTACTTAGTTTTTTACCTACCTCACTTTTGTTCTTTTAGCTTTAATTTAATTTTTTTTTGTTTGTTTGTTTTATTTATTTGTTTACTTTTACTTTCCTTATTTTCCTTTGGTGTTATTTATTTTATTTTATTTTAATTTATTTATTTTCACTTTTCTCACTTATTATTATTTTTCTTTACTTACACAGTCCCTATTTATGTTCTTTTGGCTTTACTTTTATTTTATTATATTTTATTTTCACTTTCCTTACTCTTGTTTTTTTTTTCTTTAATTTAATGTCATTTTACTCTTTTTTTTATGTATTTTTTTCTCATGTTTACTTTTTGTTCATATACTTAGTCTAAATATACCACAGTCTATGGTGTGCAAATGACTTACATTACACTCATGTCCGTTACATCACACATGTATATAGAACAGAATGCAACATATAAACATCCTGTTTGTTTGTTGTTGTTTTTTTTTGTTTTGTTTTTTGGTACTGAAGATCAGTGTTGTTACGGTTGCCAGATTGTTTCCATGCAGTTTCCAAGGTTTTCAGATTCATTTAATGTCTAAAATGAGTCCTGCGTCTTAGACGTCAGTATTCAGGTCTCGTTTCTCCTTCAGTGCGAGTCTATGGCTTTTTGCACACGTTTTATTGTCCAAGCAGCAGATGAAAGTTGATACTTAGAGGTTTGTTCAAATCCCTAAACCTAAATCGTAGCAATAACTGCGATTCCTGCCTTAGCAAGAACCACTAAAAAGAGCTTGGAGAGAAATATCTCTGTCACCAACCATATTTCCAGCCATCTTTATGTGAAAGTGCAGACATGAGCTTTAAAAACACATCTTGAAGATCTCAGTGTTCTCGTTTCATTCACTGTCAAAGATGGGGTTTGTCAGTAAAGCTGTGTGCACTTACAGTAATGGATGATAAACTGCTATGGATGGGTTCAAGGATGACTGAAAGTTCAATCTGAGTGTATGTCATAAATATTGCATTTAGAAATATTGCATTAAATCTGTTGGTGAGGAGTTTCCAACATTTGCTTTATAACCAAACTTGAAGAAATGCTAATAGCTGTTTCGATTCTGGTAAATGAAATATGCTGCTTATATAATTGGATGCTATCTGGCATACAAGACAGTCTGTCTTTGAACAAAGGCTCACTAAAGCTGCGGTTATTTCATTAAAAATACAGTCAAATCTGTACAACTGTAAGATCTTATTACTATTTAAAATAACTATTTTATTGTTGTGATGTGTATTAAGGTGCAATTTATAAATAATTATGCATAATTACTCCAGTCTTCAATATTCTAAAATCATTTGTCAATCATTAGTCAGTGAATCAAATGTGCCACTTCATATTTTGCGGAGTCTGTAATACCTGTATATATATTAGTGCTGTCAATCGATTAAAAAAAAAATTAACTAATTAATCACACTTTTTTTGGAAAATTAAGCGTGATTAATCGCGATTAATCGCATTTAAAATACTGAAACTTGTAATTTTGGCTATTCAAATGTAAAATTAATAGAAACGCAAGACAAAAACTATTTAAATTCGAAATATAATTGTTTATTAGAATTTGTGTTTAGCTTGTAACACAGATTTCATCATGTAAACAACAAACCCACAATAAACCATCAAGATACTGGCTTAAAAGCCATATTTATTAAAGAAATTAAAACACAGGCATGTTAATGACATTTGAATTTCAAAACAATCAATGCCAATAAAGAAAAAATTGCAGTTGCAGATATGGAAAATGGATTGTTATAATAACAATAATAAAGTATTAAATACAAACAATTGTACTCATTGTAAAGTTTTATTGCTGTAAGTTGAGAACATTAATTATAAAGTAGAAACAATTTTGCTTAATCCTTTACGTTCATCCAGTTGCTAAGACTAGGAGTATCCCGCAAATGCACTCTCCACCGCATCCCTCCTAGCTCAGGTATGTTGCGTGCAACTCACCCCCACCGCTCTTCAGGTACGTCTCGCACGCACACGCCCCTACTCAGATACATTGCTCACTCAACCCCTGACACCCCTCAACGGGCCTGACACAGACACACATACAGAGACACACACAACGCGCTGGAGCGACTCCCTTCAGATTGAACCCGCATGATCGCATTCATCAAATTTACTTAAACTAAGCATTCTTAAGTATGGCTGTATTTCACAAGGATTCTGACACAACAACGCGATGCATACGCTTTCATTGCGTTTACTGAGGAAACACGCTAAACTTAATGAAACATTGGAGGGCTCATGCTGAATGGAGTCTTTGACAGCTCGCGACTTCACCAAAGACTTTCTGAGTACATTTACATTAGACACCAATTCTCAGATTTTAATATGATTAAGATAATACTCTTATTAAGAGTCTACCTTGTGAGTCCCGAGTCACGAAATGAGGAGGCTTTTCTTTTTGTTCGCCATGCGGTATTAACTTACATTAAAACAGAAGTCGAAAGTTAAAAAAAGAAACACCCGAAATTGCATGAAATTCTGGAGGTGCCTGGTGATGCCATATTATTTGTTTTATACTGAAATTTGCCTTCAAAAAGTGCTTCCTTGATCTTATTCATGTTTCTTTGCATGTTGAACACATGTCCACCACAACAGGAAGTAAAAAAAAAAAAACTTGCAACTGCGTCAATTGCATTTTTTTTTTTTACACGTTAATTTCAAATGAATCGCATGCGTTAATGCACTAATTTTGAAAGCACTAATATACTGTAATATATATATAATATATAATTAAATTAAAAAAATCACAATTATCTGATGAATAGGATTAGAGTTATGCGATAGATTATGTTATAATGTAATGGCCATGCACCTAAAGCACTTCACAATCATAAGGGGGGGTCTCTCCACACCACCACCAGTGCGCAGCATTCGCTTTAGACAACGTCCCCAGTGCGCCCACCACACACCAGTTATAGGTGGCCAATTCAGTGGATGGGATGATTAGAAGGCCATGATGGGTAAGGGCCAATGGAGGGAATTTGGCCAGTACACCGAGGTTACTCCCCTACTCTATGAAGTGCCATGGGATTTTTAATGACCACAGAGAGTCATGGCTAGGCCCACACGGAATCTGCGCGCGCAGAATTTCACAGATTTTTCGCAGAATTCCGCAGATTTCTGCAGGTTTTTAGCCCATCATTAATTCTGTTTATTTACTTGAGTAAATGTGAAAATCTGAATTTATTCAGTTTTTATTCAGTAATTTATTACTTTTTATTTAATACATTAAGGTTTTAGTTATGATACTCCTCTGGATACTCCACAGCCATATCACCCTGCAGCCCACGACCGGTTACTTACTGAAGCTAAGCAGGGCTGAGCCTGGTCAGTACCTGGATGGGAGACCACTAGGGAAAACTAGGTTGCTGTTGGAAGTGGTGTTATTGAGGCCAGCAGGGGGCGCTCAACCTGTGGTCTGTGTGAGTCCTAATGCCCCAGTAAAAGTGATGGGGACACTACACTGTCAGTGGGCGCTGACTTTCGGATGAGACGTTAAACCGAGGTCCTGACTCTCTGTGGTCATTAAAAATCCCATGGCACTTCTCGTGAAAGAGCAGGAGTGTAACCCCGGTGTCCTGGCCAAAGTCCCTCTCTCGGCCCATACGAACATGGCCTCCCAATCATCCCCTTCCCCTTGTCCTGTGGCAGCCGTCGCATCATCCAAGTGGATGCTGCACACTGGTGGTGGTGTGGAGAGACCCCCCTCTCATGATTGTGAAGCGCTTTGGGTGTATGGCCATACACAATAAAGGCACTATATAAATACACATTACATTTACATTACATAACATTTACATTTACATACTCCCAAAATAATTAGCAGAAATCTGCAGATTTTTACCAAAATTCTCCGCAGAAATAGCAAAAAACGTCCGCAGATTCCGTCTGGCCCTAGTCATGACCTTGGTTTTAACGTCTCATCCAAAAGACAGCGCTCACTGACAGTATAGTGTCCCCTTCACTATACTGGGGCATTAGGGCTCACAGGACCACTGGTTGAGCACCCCCTGCTGGCCTCACTGAAACCACTTCTAACAGCAGTCTACTGTAGTTTTCCCATGTGGTCTCACATCCAGGTGCTGACCAGGCGACCCCGGATTAATAAAGGGACTAAGCCGAAAAGAAAATGAATCAGTGAATGTTTTCACTTCTTTGCAGTGTAATATTGAACAGTAGTGTTATGTACCAGAAACCCGGCTGACATTCTAAAAGCACTGCTTTGGTAAAAACATGGCAAACGTTGCATGAGCGTTGAGGGAGCATTTGCATATGCGATTGTGACATTTCCGCAGATGTGCAGCCTGCAAAACAGTATTTAACAATCTGCCGTTGTGTTTTCTCTTTCAGATCTTTAAGCAGAAGGTGCTGGAGCTTGGTGAGAAGTTGTTACCCGCCTTCAACACACCCACCGGCATCCCCAGAGGAGTCATTAACCTGGGCAGGTGAGGCGAGACGCAGATCCTCCATTCACACAAACATATGCCTCAGATATCAGCCTTTCTTTCGGCTTTTTCTGGTGCTTTCTGGCACCGCTGCGGCCCACCTGGCCTCCATTAGTCCAGCAGCTCCTCTGACAGATGCAGGCGAATTTAATTAACCGATTCTCAGGCTAATTCCAGTTAGATGAGGAACTGGAGCCACAGACGGGCTGGGAGAAAGCGGAGCGATGTGGCGCTGAGGTTAGACGAGAACAAATATAAGCCTATCGTGACATTTACTACTTTATATAGGGCCAGTGGAATAATTCTGCTAAAGAGTGTGTTTGATTGATTTAGGAAAATCTGGAAAATTGTGAATTATTATTGCATTTTCAAATGGTGTGAATTAAAAAAAAAAATATATATATATATATACACACACACACACACACACACACACACACACACACACACACACACACTCACCGGCCACTTTATTAGGTACACCTGTCTAGCTTCTAATTAATGCAAATTTCTAATCAACCAATCACATGGTAGCAACTCAATGCATTTAGGCATGAAGACATGGTCAAGACGATCTGCTGCAGTTCAAACTGAGCATCAGAATGAGGAAGAAAGAGGATTATCTCTGAGTACTCTGAGGCTGCTCTGAGTATTTTCTTTCTTCAGAAAACAAGACATACTTTTTTATGCTATTTTATGTGTCTAGCATGTATCTTGATTTAATAATATTTAGATATTTGAATTGAAAACAGGACAAAACTACTTTATATACTATATATAATATATATACTACTATATCATTACTGTTATTATTATTATTATTATTATTATTCTTGCTGTTGTTGTTGTTGTTGTTGTTTTTTTTATTATTGCTATTATTATCATTATTATTATTATTATTATTATTATTTAATATTATTATTATTATTAATTGTTATTGTTATTATTATTTTTTAGTATTATTATTATTATTATTATTATTATTATTATTATTATTATTATTATTATTTATTATTATCATTAATTATTATTATTATTATTATTATTATTAGTATTATCATCATCATTAATTATTATTATTATTATTATTATTATTATTTTATTGTTATTGTTATTGTTATTATTATTATTATTATTATTATTATTATTATTATTATGTATTGATATTATTATTGTCATTGTTATTATTATTATTATTATTATTATTATTATTATTATTATTATTATTATTATTGTTGTTGTTGTTGTTGTTGTTGTTGTTGTTGTTGTTATTATTATTATTTTTTTTTTTTCATTATTATTATTATTATTATTATTATTATTATTATTATTATTATTATTATTATTATTATTATTATACCAGCTCAGGGATGAGCTTTTTTGAATAAATGGTTGGAATTATTGCTTTACTTTTTTTTATCCGATTCATCGGTTGATCGAAAAAATAATCAACAGATTAATCGATTATTAAAATAATCATTAGTTGCAGCCCTAGTGTGCTGCATATTTACCGGTAAAATTCTAGCAACCACAGCTGTAATATTCAGTTTAAAGTACACATGAAATCAAAACTGACCATACTGATTTTGCTGATAGTTTTGTGATGAACGTTTATGCGTGTCTTTTTAATCTTTAATTGAGATCTGAAAATGCACTTCCTGTTTGTTTTCAGTTAAATTCTCAGTTTAGGTCAGTCTGAAGTTTGGGTGTGGCTAACATACTTAACCACGCCCCTATAGCTGTCAGTTTTGACATCAAACAAAATTGGTGAACAGGAGGAGTCTGTTAGGTTGTAATAACTCTCCCCAAACTCTTTACCCATCTTTCTGAATGAAAAGCCTACTTTACTACATCCAATCAGCTCGCAGTAGAAAAAACAAGCCACGCCCACTGTTTTCTCATTTAATATTCAGTTTCTCTAGGAGCTGCGTTACAATATGAAAAAATGGTCACAGATTTGTTTAGTTTTTTTTTATTACGCTGTGTGTAATAGAGTGTGTTGGTGTTCACTGTGCCCGCTCTGCCCTCTGTTGCAGTGGCACCAGCTGGAGTTGGGGCTGGGCATCAGCCGGCAGCAGCATCCTGGCGGAGTTCGGCACTTTACACCTGGAGTTCGTTCACCTGTCGGAGCTCTCCGGAAACCCAGTGTTCACCGAAAAGGCAAGATTTATTTCTCTGATCATTCAATCACACTAGCTATGTTTCCATCCACCATGCATATTTTAGAACATAGCGTAAAAATAGCCTAACGTACAATATAAAGTCAAAAATTTCTGTTTAACACAGAGATTATAATCGTTTTAATAACTTATTTATAATAACCGATTTATTTGACCTTTGCAATGATGACAGTAAATAATATTAGACTAGATATTTCTCAAGACACTAGTATTCAGCTTAAAGGGCCATGACACCCCCCAGTTTCGGTTAAAGTCTACTTCAGAATTTTTTCAAAAGATGCATGATTAATGGGCGTGGAGCTCAGCGAGCATCGGGCAGGAGTGGGCGTAGCCAGCAGGGGAGAACGTGAGCGAACGAAGCTAGCCCACAAAATGAGACAAACCGTGAGGAGACGCATGAGTTTATAGTTTACAAAGTTAAAATGCAAAGAAATGAACAGTGATTTAATGCCCTGCTACATTTGTTATTCGTAATTTCATATACACATAACCACAATTTATATCATTATAAAGATAAGTGTGTTGATGTAAACCCTATAAATGAGGACTTCTCCCTCAATCCCCGTATCCAGCAGACTCAGTGCAGCAGGTCTCCTGACCTGTCTATTTTAACCGTTAGCCCTGCTGGTAATCTGGAGGATTTAGGCAAACACAGCAGCATGGCGATGTGTCTGAATGTGAACGAACTCCTGATAAAAGACAGCGTCCGCCATTCTCTAATTCTCGTGCTGCTCTCCCGACAAAAATGCTAGCAGCACACACACAGCTTTGCTGTATGATCGGCCCTGACAAGATCGCGGGGGAAAACATGCAACAAACCCCGTGGATCATGGAAACAAACGCATATGAGCCTTCATGAACGGCTAAATACTGTGTGCCCGTGCAGGGGGTCCGTGACGTGTCTCTTAGTTCGGGCTTGACTCTGGCAGGTCTGGCAGGTCTCATGAATAATTAAGCAGCCGGCTCTTCTCATAGGATAAGAAAACTCCGCTATGAATAATAATGAGAAACCGACGCGTCATCATTGCACTTGCAGTTCTGCGCTACGTCGCCGATTTTGATCCCGCCCCAAAAATCATTTTAAAACCGGAAGCTGAAATGAGCTGACAAAAGCTCAAAATTATCCAGTTTTCCACACAATTAAAGCTGACAGGTGCTAACATTGTCTTAACTGATGCTCAACACACACAAATCTGTTAATATAAAAAAAAAGTTCTCCAGGGTGTCCTGAACCTTTAAAGTGACATTTAAAGGCTTAACTAGGTTATTTAGGGTAAAGTTAGGGTAATTAGGTAAGTCATTGTATAAAAGTGGTTTGTTCTGTAGGCAATCCAAAACTAATATTGCTTAAGGGGTCTAATAATATTGTTTAAAATAGTTACAATTTTCTGGAAAGATCTGTATGTGTGAACAGGCCCTCTTTGAAAATACCAGTAAATTCGTTCTGGCTATTTTCCGGAAAGAGAAGTTGTAACATTACCGTTAATTTGTCGGAATGCTGCGCTGTGTGAACGTAGAAGGAAGATTGCCGGAAAGAGCGCGTGCACATCTAGAACGTGCTGACATGGACGTCTACTTTAGCCAATCGGAACAGTCAGACGCATTCAAGTCCGAATGGTTTATGAAAACAAAAGCCTTTCAATAGACACAATTAGCTGCTAGATGTTAGACAGATAACGTTTCTATGTTCCCTCTCAATGCCAACTGTGTAAATAATTAACGATAAGTTGCTTATGATAAGCCGTTGTTTGTTTACCTTCAAGCTCTGCTTCCTTCAGTTGCTTGACGCATCGCATGTGCCCGTGAAGCAGCCGGTGAACGCCAGCACACACACATATCATGTACATCTCGACCAAGCGGCTACCTCCCGCTCTCCCTCAGGAAGCCAATACGGAAGTAACTAAAACTGCAATTCATCCGAAATTCCGCTAGTCCTGGCCGCTCCTGGCTCCAAAACAGAGCAAATTTTAATTGAGTACACTGTTAGAATGGCCAACTTTACAGCAGAAAAAAAGGTGTTTACAGCCTGGTACAAAAAAAGATTTTGGTTAATATAGCTAACATTACCCTTCATGACAACTGTGAGGGGGGGGGGATTTTTTTTATAACTCATCTGTTTCCTTTATATTAAGTTATATTAAGTTTGCATAATTAAGGGAGTGGCCACTTGAGTGACAGCTAGGTCTCGTTGGTCGCCGTCACGTCACCTCAGCTGAATCCTGCAGATTAGCCACTGAACTCGGCATATTTATCGCATTTCTGTGTTGTTTTATGTGGTTTTACACAGTCAACTGCCTTTTGGACTTGTTTGATACAATTATCAGATAGCATGGCATGCTGTGTGCACTTAATTGTGCTCACAAACCATTCACGTGGTCTCCGTTTCCTATGTGAGTAAAGTTATGTACTGATATACCATCTCTATACATGTATTTGTTTTATTTAAGATAATTTATCGTTTATATTTAGAGCTGTAATGCACTCCAGAATCTGTCAGATTGATTAGCTGTAGGCTCTAGATCAGTCATCTGAAGCGTTGTCATACAGTGTTATGCTGGATTTCATCAATAGTCTTACATTAACTAACACAGACTATATCTGAAGAGTTTGGAAGTAATTCGTGTTTTCCTCCTGTTGAAAAACGTCATAAGAACAATGTTTAGTGGCTCAATGTGTTACAGCAGTGTTTTTAAAAGTCTAAACACTTTATTGATATAGTATACAACCAAGCACAAGTGGTCAGAATACAAACGAGTCACAGGTGATAAAGTATTAAGCGTTCTCCCAAACTAAAGTGTGTCTGAACCAGGTCCAAGCTAAATGCTAGCAGGTGTCTGTAGCTCCGCTCACTCTCGCCTCTTTGCCCTTGTTTGGTATCCCGCCGTGGGTGTGATGACGCGTGAACAAAATGGCGACGGTTGGCCGCGCCTACTTGTGGCTTCTTTTGCGCTCTTCAGAAACCTATGGGTGACGTCACGGATATACGTCCATATATTTTACAGTCTATGATCTCGACATGCAAAAGCGTTCTTCTATATTTTCATCGAAGCTGTTCACAATACTGATCCATCCACAGAGTAAATGTAGCCAAATGTTTACAAATTCAAGCGCAGCCGTTTTGAGCTCAAATCTGGTTAGTGATGTCAGAATTTAGGCAAGGCAAGGCAAGTTTATTTATGTAGCACATTTCATACACAGTGGCAATTCAAAGTGCTTTACATAAACAAGAATAAAATAAACAAGTAAAATAAAAATAAGAACAAATAATAAAAATGAGTAAAAAAAACACAAAAACAGGTAAAATGTGATATAAAAGAATGAAGAAGAAGAGAAAAACATAATAGTGCAATCTGTCGGACGCAGCAGAGTGTGATTGAAGTGCTGATTTTCTTCTCTTTGACTCTAGGAACGCTGCTTTATCCAGTATATGTATTACAGTTTTGTACATAAGTTTAGAGAGCATCTAATTGTTATCGCTTAATAAACTGTGAATTTTGTGTGTCTTTATTTTAGGTGATGAACATCCGAAAGCTGCTGGATAAAATCGAGAAGCCTCACGGTCTGTATCCAAACTTCCTGAGTCCCGTCAGTGGAAACTGGGTGCAGCGTGAGTCTTTTTAACCTTTGTGAATGTTTAAACCATATATTTAGCAGTTTTTTTTTTTTCATTTTTATTTATTTTATTTTACAAGTAATTTTTTCGTAGTTCTGTAATGAATATGTTAAATCCAGAAAAAAAAAATTCTGGTTAATTACTGTGAATTTGTAAATGCTGCACATTTTAAAAACTGACTCTGAAGAGCCTTACGCCTGTTTCACACCGCAAGCGTCAGCGTCGCGTGAGCAGCGCGTATGTCGAGCAGTAGCAGCACGCAGGCGTTTGCCTTTCACACCAGCTGCGTCTGCAGCGCGCAGCTCTTCGGCAGCTGCTGCAGAGATCAACCTATCTCTGTCTATTCTATCTAGTTACCCATGTCTCCCTATATACAAATACACTTTTTAAACTTTTCATCTGCACCAAGGCCCCTCCTATGCTGTTTCTTTAACCTGCAAATGTTTATTTTACAAATTTTATAGATCAAATAGTACTGTATGCTTCTCAAGCTAACTTATATGAGAAGTGTCTACAGTCAGAAGACAATCGCCTGTGATATCATGTCATTTGTTTTTTGATTATCAGGTTGCTGTAGACCTAGTTATAATCATATTTATACAATATAGTTATAATGATATTTATACATGATCAAACTAGTGTTACTTTCTCCGCTTCAGTGATGTCCAGCGGCAGAATAACAGCTCGTTAATTCCTGCTCGTGCAGAGGATGAGACGGACAAAAGTAACCAACGCATGCCATTCTTTTACTTATTTTCGTGTTGTTAGATTCACAGTGCAAACAGCTCCCGGTAGGAATAACTCGAGTGAACATAAAAAAGCCGATTAAAACTTTCTTCCTCTGCTCAGCTGCACAGAACACGGCGAGCTCACATAATCCAGCATGCGTGTCGAACTACACTACCCACAATACACTTCGCTATGGACTACAAATCCCGTAAATATTCTATTTCCCCTCTCCTACAACACTAGTGTGCAAAACTGATACTAAAATTGTTTTACATTTGGTTTTGTAGTTCGGGCCTAAATAAATGTTTTTAATCGTTTTAAGTTAATTTGAATGATTATATATAAACAATTTGACATTATTAACGTATTTATTGGGTAAAGCTGCTACTTTTTACTGCCATTCAATGTGTTTTGGTCATCATCAATGCACTGTCACTTTAATTGAGCGTGAGCAGTGCGTCAAAAATAGACCCAGCGCCGAAACTATCGCTGCACTGCTGCTTCGGCGACGCTCACGTCTCGCTCTGACGCGCTGCTGCTGCGTGCGGTATGAAAGCTCTAATCTGTTAACATGGACGCCGAAAACACACGCGCTGTTCACGCATTGCTCACGCGCCGCTGACGCTTGCGGTGTGAAACAGGCGTTACTTGTAGACTGATTTCACGCGGCCGCCATTTTTAAAAACAAAATCGAGGCTACAGTTGGAAGAAACCCGGAAGTATCGTCGGGAGTTACATTGGAACGTTGTTTACCTGGCTGTATATCTTATTAGCGAATAGAAAGTGACACAAATTTATAATTTCACCGCCTTCAGAGTTACCAGAAAGTCCGTTTTGCCCCTTTATGCTGCCCCTTTAAATAGGAGATCAATGTAGCGAATTTTGACGCTCTCGCCGCCGGAGCTGAAGGCAGACAGCGATGTCAACAGGGCGGCCAGAGCGACCTTCGGTGTGAACACACAGTCACTGTGCTGTTTATCTGACGCAGCTGAGGCGGAGATTGAGGCACACTCTGATAGGCACGAGGGAACGGTGGGTGGGGAAGAACCAGCATTAAAGGCACAGGCAGGCACGTGCACACATAGGGCTCAACCTGTGCAGTGCACATGCCCTTTTTAGTCTTGGATAGAAAGTGCCCTTCCGAAATGATCAAAAGTGCCCCCGCGACGCGGCACACCTTCGGTCCCGCCCTTCAGTAGGAGCGCGACAGCACCGCTCTTGAGTACGCGCGTGATAACACCGCTGATCAGTACGCGCGCGATAACACAGCTGATCAGTACGCGCGCGATAACACAGCTGATCAGTGCGCGCGCAGTCCCCCCCAACACCCCCCCCGCTCTTCAAACAAATTATCCTGCACATGCCCTTTGGACGGTCTCTGCACGGGCCTGGGCACAGGCCACAAAAACAGCTACATTGTGTTCAGAGCAGAAAATCCTAATATTCTGAAAGGTCTAATGAATAATCTGAAGGATGTTTTAAGCTGTAACTTTAAAGACACACTCTGGAGACACAAAAGACCTCTCTTAAATCTTGAAAAAGGGGTCAAGTAGGTGCCCTTTCAATTCAAATGAGATTGTGCTCTTTTCAAAAGAGGGCGGAGCTACAAATGCCTATGTGTCAGCATAGTGGCAGATTCAGAAAGAAGACTAACATTCTATGCTAATGAGGTAGAGATGGGCACTTGTGGGCGGGGCTTTCCCCCTCTGATGATGTACAAAGGGAGAATGTCAATCAAAGTGTATCTGCAGACTGTTGTTATCAAGACTGATTATAAAACACAGTGATTATTTTCTACCTTTAATAGCTGCTTATATTCACACATATTTGTGTTTAAACCCCTTGTAAAGGGGATTTTTGTGTAATAGCTCTCCTTTGAATTCAGTGCAGATTTTTCCTGCTGGTGTTTGTGCATTTATTAGTGTTACTATTTAGCTTCTTTTCTGCTGGGTCATGAGAGCGTCTCTCTCGGGCTCCCTCTTTGAGTTTCACAATGCAATTATTCTGGCATCCATGACATCAATTGAGCCAGAGCGACTCTCCTGTCGAGCCCACGGCCAAGAGTTATTAAAATGATAATAAATCCCATTACCTGTTGGAAATTGAATCTTTCAGAATTCACCTGGAAAACAGGAGAAATGTTTTTCTTCTTCTTTAACAGGTTGAATGTAATCTGCGGCTGCAGTGTTAATTGTAATGTCTTGGGATTGTCTAATGAATGTTGGAGATCAGCTGTGATCTGCATGTCAATTGAGACTCATGCATTATAGCACACATACTGTAGGGTCTTCTGTCAACCGAACACGAATGACTGTGTGTTTAAAAGTAAAAAGCATTTCGCTCTGATCCTCATAAGAAGAACAGGACAAATCTGTCTGACATTTAACGTCTGCATATATATATATATATACATACATATATATATATATATATATATATATATATATATATATATATATGTCTATATATATATATATATATATATATATATATATATATATATATATATATATATATATATATATATATATATATATCAGGTTCGTAGCCAGCCTATTAAAAGGAGCGGTTCTTTTTTCAGATATTTACAGATATTCAAGGTTTAAATATTGCATTTTAGTGCCAATTTAAGCCCAATTTTGGCTAGATTAACTTGTCGGATGTTTATCATTACCACACTTTTTGATGCAACAAAAATGCTTTCTACATGTTTGTGTAAAGTGTTTATTTACAAATTGTTACAGTTTTATATATATTGGAATGAGACTACAATTTTAGAAATATTACAAAATACTTATTTTAAGTGCTAATTTATTATCATTCATCATAAAAATAAAAAAATAAAAAACCAACAACTTGGGAATCTGGTAAAACTGGCTTTAAATTAAAAACTGTAGCCATATAATAAATAACAAATATAACAAATAACAAACTGGCCAGTTAATTTCCTCAGTTAAAATTTTTCCATTTAAATAATAAAAGCCTTCTTTTGTTGGTTATTCTTTTTAAAGCCTTGTTCTATTGGTTATTTTCTCTTAATTTATGTTGGCATACTTTAAAAAATGGGACAAATAAGCTCATATATGGACCAAATTGTGAACTTTGTCAGAAGGGGGGTGGGTCTTTCAACCCCCCCGAAAACCTATATATATATATATATGAGCAATATCACACGAGTAGCAGTGTGACATGGCTGTATATCGGGTGGGAGGCGGCCGAGTGCCTTAGTGCCCCCACCAGTGCCGATATACAGCCATATCACACTGCTACGAATGTGATATTGCGTTTATACAACAGTTTGACGGCATAATTGTGTATATAAAAACAAAATCAAACATGGAGAGTCTCAAAAACCCTTTTGTATGAGGATTTAAATCATAAGCTGACAGTTAAACAGCGGAGCAAGCATCTTTTAAACTTTAGATCTGTAGTGTCTGCTTTTTGCTGGCTGTATGTGGGGGGAGTAATACACAAAGGGTAAAGAGGCTGTAGGAGTTCTGATATTTCAGAATATCGCATGGCTGTCAGCCAATCAGATTTGAGAACCTGACAGAACTGTTGTGTATGTATATATATATATATATGTATATATATATATATATATATATATATATATTAGTGCTGTCAATCGATTAAAAGATTAACTAATTAATCACACTTTTTTTCAAATTAACCGCGATTAATCACATTTAAAAAAACTGAAACTTGTAATTTTGACTACACAAATGTAAAATTAATGTGAACGCAAGACAAAAACTATTTAAATTCATAATATAATTGTTTATAAGAATTTTTTGTAATATCAGCAACTTCAGTCCAACATCTACATTAGCAGGAGGATAAGGATGAAACCAGGCTGGACATTTCATTAAGACAATGATCCAAAACACAGCCGAGGAGATTTCAGATGCATTCAGAGAAAGAAAATCAAGCTGTAGAATGGCCCAGCCAATCACCTGACTTGAATCTCATAGAATACAGAATAAAGCTCAGATCTGATAGACGAGACCCACAGAAGCATCAAGGTTTAGACACTCTGTTGAAGTCTGTAAGAAACTCACTCCTGAGCAATGCATGTGCCTTCATTCTCCATATGAGAGGCGTTTGCCACTGTGTGTTTGTGTCATTCAGAATTGGTTTCTCAGGATTATTTTGCATTTTAAAAGTTTGTGTTTGACGATGTGTTCTGCTCTTCTTCTCAGATCACGTGTCGATCGGCGGACTCGGGGACAGTTTTTATGAATATCTGATCAAATCTTTTCTGATGTCGGATAAGACGGATGAGGAGGCCAAGAAGATGTATTACAGCGCGATGGAGGTGCGCAGATCTCATTTATATTATTCACAGATTGATTAATCGCTCCTGTCCAAACATCATCAGAGTCATCAATAGCATTGATTTTAAATCTGCTTACAGTCCAGCTGCGTTTCAGATCCTCAGCCTGTTTGATGGAAATATTATTTCAAAAGATAAATATTACAGGTGCTACAAATATGATATTTTAAGTACTGCGTTTATATTTATCATGTGCTAGAGCAGTGTATACGATTCATAGGCAATAATATGTTATTTTAACATTATTATTACAATGTTTATACACAAGACATATCCACATTCTAGCATTTCACCTGATGGCTTTAAACAGCTCACTGTGAACCAATGATTTGAATCAGTGCGTCTACAAGCTGAAGGGATCATTTAAATCAGTGAGTCGTTATCTGCTGACTCACTCCGACCAGACCAGTGAATTATTATCTGTAGAGTTGCTCTGCATTTGAATCAGTGAGTCATTAATTGCAAACTTGCTGTCAATAAATCATGTGAATCAGTGAGTCAATATCAACAGACTCACTCTGAATGAATCATTTGAATGAATGAGGGGATACTTGCAGACTTACTGTGAACTATCGATTTGAGTCATGATCTGCTGACTCCCTCTGACCAGATCATTTGAATCAGTGAATTACAAGCTGTAGATTTGCTGCAAGTGGGTCATTTTAAATCAGTGAGACATTCATTGCAAACTTACTGTAAATACCTCATTTGAATCAGTGTCATATTCTACAAACTCACTTTGAATGGATCATTTGAATCAGTGAGTCATTATCTTCAAACTTATTCTGCATGAATCATTTGAATAAGTGAGTCAATTGTCTCATAATTCACCTTGAATAGATCATTTGAATCAATGAGTCATTGAAAGGTTAGTTGCAGACTTGCTGTGAATAAATGGATAATTTGAATCAGTGAGTCATTTATTGCAAACTTACTGTAAATACCTCCTTTGAATCAGTGAGTCATATTCTACAAACTCACTCTGAATTGATCATTTACATCAGTGAGTCACTATTTACAAACTCACTCTGAATGGATCATTTGAATTAGTGAGTCGTTATTTGAATCAGTGAGTCAATATCTACAGATCATTTAATCATTTAATATCATCTAATAGATCATTTGAATCAGTGACAGTTGCGGACTCACTGTGAACAAATGATTTGAATCAATGAGGTATTGTCTGTAAACCTACTCTTACTGGATCTTTTGAATCAGTGATATACTAGCTGGAGAATTACCAACTCTCTCTAAAGGGATCATTTGAATCAGTGAGTCATTACTTAAATCAGTGAGTCAATATCTACAGACTCACTCTGAATGAATCATTTGAATGAATGAGGGGATACTTGCAGACTTACTGTGAACTATCGATTTGAGTCATGATCTGCTGACTCCCTCTGACCAGATCATTTGAATCAGTGAATTACAAGCTGTAGATTTGCTGCAAGTGGGTCATTTTAAATCAGTGAGACATTCATTGCAAACTTACTGTAAATACCTCATTTGAATCAGTGTCATATTCTACAAACTCACTTTGAATTGATCATTTGAATCAGTGAGTCATTATCTTCAAACTCACTCTGAATGAATCATTTGAATAAGTGAGTCATTGTCTCATAATTCACCCTAAATAGATCATTTGAATCAATGAGTCATAATCTACAAACTCACTCTGAATGGATCCTTTGAATCAGTGAACGGTTAGTTGCAGACTTGCTGTGAATAAATGGATAATTTGAATCAGTGAGTCATTTATTACAAACTTACTGTAAATACCTCATTTGAATCAGTGTCATATTCTACAAACTCACTTTGAATGGATCATTTGAATCAGTGAGTCATTATCTTCAAACTTACTCTGCATGAATCATTTGAATAAGTGAGTCAATTTCACCCTGAATAGATCATTTGAATCAATGAGTCATAATCTACAAACTCACTCTGAATGGATCCTTTGAATCAGTGAACGGTTAGTTGCAGACTTGCTGTGAATAAATGGATAATTTGAATCAGTGAGTCATTTATTGCAAACTTACTGTAAATACCTCCTTTGAATCAGTGAGTCATATTCTACAAACTCACTCTGAATTGATCATTTACATCAGTGAGTCACTATTTACAAACTCACTCTGAATGGATCATTTGAATTAGTGAGTCGTTATTTGAATCAGTGAGTCAATATCTACTGATCATTTAATCATTTAATATCATCTAATAGATCATTTGAATCAGTGACAGTTGCGGACTCACTGTGAACACATGATTTGAATTAATGAGGTATTGTCTGTAAACTTACTCTTACCGGATCTTTTGAATCAGTGATATACTAGCTGGAGAATTACCAACTCTCTCTTAAGGGATCATTTGAATCAGTGAGTCATTACTTGAATCAGTGAGTCATTATCTACAAATTCACTCTGAATGGATTATTTGAATCAGCGAGTGGTTAGCTGCAGACTCACTGTAAACAAATGATTTGAATCAGTGAGTCATTATCTGTAAACTTACTCTGACTGGATCTTTTAAATAACTGAATTATTGACTGTAGCTGGATCATAAGAATCAATTAGTTGTTATCACCAAACTTACTCAGAATTGATTGATTGAATCAGTGAGTGGTTAGTTGCAGGCCCACTGTGAACAAATGATTTGAATCAGTGAGTCATTATCTGTGAACTTACTCTGACCACATCATTTGAATCTGTGAATTATTAGTAGAACTGCTGTAAATGAATCATTTGAGCCATCCATTGCAAACTTACTGTGAATACCTAATTTGAATCAGTGAGTCATTACCTACTAACTCATTCTAAATAGATTGTTTGAACCAGTGAGTCAATTTTTGAATCAGTGAGTCGTTATCTACAAACTTACTCAGAATTGATTAATTGAATCAGTGAGTGGTTAGTTGCAGGCTCGCTGTGAACAAATGACTCTAATCAGTGAGTTATTATCTGTAAACTTACTCTGAACAGATCATTTGATCTGCTGTAAATGAATCATTTGAGTCATACATTGCTAACTTTCTGTGACCTAATTTGAATCAGTGAGTCATTATCTACTAACTCATTCCAAATGGATCATTTGAATCAGTGAGTCATTATCTACTAACTCATTCCAAATGGATCATTTGAATCATAGACTCATTATTTGAATTAGTGAGTCATTACCAACTCATTCTGAATGGATCATTTGAATCATGTGCTGGTTTCTGCTTGTCTGCAGACATAAAAACAACAGAACACACAGCAAACACATTCATTTTGAGAAAACAAACAGCACAGAGATGTTTTCCTCGATTGTCTTTGTCAGATTTATACACCTTGTAGAATCTAAATGTTGCTTTTCTTTTGCACACTGTCTTCTGCTATACATAAAACATGGCATGCATAAGTGTGGTCGTCTCCTAAAGCAGCATCCAAGCTTTTATTGAAACCCAGCGTCACCTTGATTTCAAGGCCCTTTACAGATCTGACAGAGGTTTCTTTCACTCAAAGCACATCCATCTGTCTGTTTTTCACAGATTAATAGCTGCATTATATTCAGCATTTTCTATGACTTTAACAGAGCTGTGATTTATTATAATAAAAATATTAATATTAACCCTCAGCGACAGCTTCAATTACATTCACAGACACTGTATCACTAACTCAAACCTTCTGTTCATTGAAATAAAGATAAAATACAAAATAGGGGTGGCTCAGTTGTTAGCACTGTTGCCTCACAGCAAAAAGGTTGCTGGTTTGAGTCCCGGCTGGGCCAGTTGGCATTTCTGTGTGGAGTTTGCATGTTCTCCTCATGTTGGCATGGGTTTCCTTCGGGTGCTCCGGTTTACCCCACACACGCGCTATAGGTGATTGGATGACGTAAATTGGACGTAGTGTATAAGTGTGTGTATGAGTGTGTGTATGAGTGTGTGTGTGTGTGTGTGTGTGTGTGTGTGTGTGTGTGTGTGTGTGTGTGTGTGTGTGTGTGTGTGTTAATGAGTGTGTATGGGTTTTTCCCGGTACTGGGTTGCAGCCGACAAGGCATCCGCTGCATAAAGCATATGCTGGAATAGTTGGTGGTTCATTCCGCTGTGGCAACCCCTCATGAATAAAAGACTAAGCTAAAGAAAAAATTAACGCATAAAATACAAAATATAGATTAAAACCTGACAACAAATCTTAACAAATTTGCATTATTTTGCTGTATAGATAAGCATAAATGCACAATTAGTGGTAAATGCACATTAAATTAAATGTTATATTTTTCTATATTAAAAAGCTTACAATCAAATTAATAAAAAATAAGTAAATGTTGCCTTACCAAATAAATGAAATAGCTTAACCGAAAATCTAAATAAATAACATAAAAAAGAAGAAAATTATAATAGATTACTACATTAAAATACTACAACGGTGTCTAAACTCAAAATAGGTCCTTCATTTAATATGTAAATATATAAACACTAATTTACCATATAGATGGTTTAAAATAGGTGTAAGGCTTTATAATGATTTATATTGTTTCATTTTAAGTTACTAGATTAAAGTTTTTGGTTAAGAAAAGTATGTAAAATAAAAACCTGATTTTTTTCAATGTAATTATTGGAAATTTAAAATGTTTATCTTGCCAAAAGCTTACCAAAAGTGCTAAAAAGTCTAAACTAAAACTAACAATAAAGCATATACAATTATCAGATAAAACTACTAACACCAAAGCTCAACTGAAAATAAATAAATATATATAAATACATAAATAAACAAATAAATAAATAAATAAATGAACTAATACATAAATAAACGAATAAATAAATAAACGAATAAATAAATAAATGAACTAATATATAAATAAACTATTAATAAATAAACTAATTAATAAATAAACTAATAAATAAATAAATAAAAGAAACAAATTAGCAAATGAAAAAGAAATAAATGGGTGATGCAGTGGTGCAGTAGGTAGTCGCTGGTTCGAGCCTTGGCTGGGTCAGTTGGCATTTCTGTGTGGAGTTTGCATGTTCTCCCTGCATACGCGTGGGTTTCCTCCAGGTGCACTGGTGAATTGGATAGGCTAAATTGTCTTGTGTGTATGAATGAGTGTGTCTGGATGTTTCCCAGGGATGAGTTGCAGCTGGAAGGGCATCAGCTGTGTAAAACATGTGCTAGATAAGTTTTCGGGTCATTCTGCTGTGGCAACCCCAGATTAATAAAGGGACTAAGCCGAAAAGAAAATTAATAAAAAAAAATAAAAAAACATAAAATAAATATATAAACGAGTGAATAAACAAATAAAAGAAACAAACAAGCTAATAAATGATTGAATAAGTAAAACAAACAAGCTAATGAATAAATAAATAAAACAAATAAATAAATAAGTGAATGGACAAAATAATAAATAAATAAAAGAAAAAAACTATCAAATAAACAAAGCAAACAAACAAACAAATGAACAAATGAAACAATCAAGCTAATAAATAAATAAATAAAAGAAAGAAAAAAGTTAGTAAATAAATGAGTAAATGAAACGAACTAGCAATTAAATAAATAAATTAAATAAATAAATAAACAAATAAATAATGGAATGAATGAATGAATAAATTCTAAAATATATAAAAGAAACAAACTAGCGAATAAATAAATAAACAAACTAAAACAAATAAAAATAATTAAAACAAAAAATAAATAAACAAATACTAATACATAAATAAATAAATAAATAAATAAATAAATAAATAAATAAATAAGCTACTAAATAGATAAAACAAAACAAAAAAACAAGTCATAAAGCATCTTCTTTTTAATTTTAACATGCTACACTTTGCTGCTAAACACATTTAGAGAAATGCTGTGCTATTTCTATTTAAAAAGGTGCCGTTAATGTTTGACAATAAATATTTTCCATGATTGTAACATCATTATTCACAAAATTGATGATAATCAGTATACAGTAAGCCTGAAGTCCGGCCACTTCTTCTGGGTTTTCTGTAAGCTGTAATGTGGTTTTATATATATATATATATATATATATTGTGTTTGCTAAATGTTGTGTTTTCTCTGTTTGTCTTCAGGCCATTGAGATGAATCTGGTGCAGAAGTCTCCTGGTGGACTGACATATGTGGCCGAGTGGAGAGGTGGAATCCTGGACCACAAGATGGGTCACCTGGCCTGCTTCTGCGGCGGGATGATCGGCATCGGGGCTGAGGACGCTCCGGCAGGACAGAAACAGCATTACCTGGATCTAGCAGGCCAGATCACTCACACCTGCCATGAGTCCTACAGCCGCTCCGGTCAGTCTGATCCTGGAGCAGTGTTTACTGAGTAACTGGAGCCGCTTTACTGTCAACACATCTACAGTACAGTGTGGCTCATGCACATCCATGCATTCAGCTTTTTTATAGTATTGTGTTATGTTATAGTAGTATTTATTCATCATTTATTTTTAGTCGTCATTGACAATAAGACAGTATTTCATTATTTATATATGAGCAATATCACACGAGTAGCATTGCGATATGGCTGTATGCGGTATGGATGTTGTTGTCCCACCAGTGATGATATACAGCCACATTGCACTGCTACGAGTGTGATATTTCCTTTATACAACAGTTCGACGGCACAATCAAACATAGAGTGTAAAAATCCTTTTGTATGAGGAACTACTTTCTTCCGCCAATCATTCGTTTATACATAATAAGCCCTTACGCTTAGAAGATATAACAGTCTGATTTCTAACTACAGCAGATCAAATCAATATTAAACTGATAAGCACACCTGCCAACACTCCCGTTTTTCATGGGAGTATCCCGTATTTCAGACCAATCTCCCGCAAACATCCCGTTTTTATTTCTTCCTAAAAAAAACTCCTGTAATTTCACCCACCCCCCTCTTTGGTACAATCAGTAAACTAAACACCCCGGGTTGCCAACTTTGGTACAGTACCCGATCGAAGCGGCCGCCCAAAACCGGCTGCATCCTGTTCTCATCCTCACCCCCAAACACCCCCAGTCTCCCTGGTTTTCAGAGACGTGTTGGCAGGTTAGATGATCTCTCTCTCTTTTGTATGTTGTAGTGCCGTATTTATACCGATATATTAGGAATGTGTGTTGTGTTGCCAGATTGAAATAAGAAAAGTCCGCACTTTAGTGTTTTTTCTTATCGCAAACATAACAGCATTCTGGTAACATTAGTGAATTCGTTGTTATTTTCGGGGTTAATTATTGTGATATCCCGATTGCAACAGAGAAATACTGTAGACTGTAACACTGTAAGAAGATTTCTCTGTAGATGGATGGCATTTCATGTCAAGTTCAGCCTTGTAATCTTGAAGTGTGAGCAAAATCAGCTGTTTAGTCATTACTTTAGACATAGAGTCATTCAAACACTAGCTCTAAAGTGACGTTGGTGAATTAGGCCCCGTTTACACCAGTGCGTTTTAGTTTTAAAACGGCGTTGTAGAATGAAAACGATCCGCGTCCACACTCGCGTTTTACCCAGCATTTCTGAACAGCTCTCCGTCCACACCAAAACGCTGAAAACGCACATCACGTGACCACACACACACTCTCGGGCAAGCGCTGCAGCATTTCTACCCAGATGAGAGCTCTGCTTGTCGGACTGCTCATCAAGCATCTCCCGCTGGATCTAATCTCACAATATTTGCTAAACGTGATATTTCATTCATGTTGTTGTCTTTATCTAACGACATAGGCCAATTCCTTGACTTTGGTCATAGGAATCTATTAAGTTACTTGTTCACGGGTAACATGTTTTGGTTAAGTGCAAAGATAAGTTAATGATTAATCCAGGTACATTGACTGATCGCTTGCCTTTATTTCCTACGATGTATAAACTTATTGTATGTTATACTTTTATAAGTATCGATTATTAAAAAGGAAATAGGCAGTTCCTTAAATCATGTTTACATTTTATTGTTGAGAAAGTGAAACAACGTAGCCAGGGTGATGTGAATGAAGTTATAAAGTACACTGTTCCCTTTGAAGATTTACCCGTGTCCTCGGTATGTTTTCCATATCAAACTGAGAAGAAGAGACTGCAGCCTTGATCAAACTTGCGAAGTCTGAACTTACAAGAAGAGGATGCGAGACTGAACTGTGTGTGGGCTACTTAATATTGAGGAAAAGCCCCAATCAGATAGGCGAACGTTTGCAGCCCCGTCTCCGTTTTCAGATGTCTCCATCTTTCCCCATCCACACTGAGACGGAGCAGCAGCGTTTCAGAATGAAAACGGCCTTTCCAGCGTTTTCGAAACGCTCCGTTTTCGGCGCTCGAGAACTCCGGCGTAGTGTGGACGGATGGCGTAACCGTAGCAAAACTTATGCGTTTTCAAACTAAAACGCATTAGTGTAAACGGGGCCTAATTCACCAACGTCACTTTAGAGCTAGTGTTTGAATGACTCTATGTCTAAAGTAATGACTAAACAGCTGATTTTGCTCACACTTCAAGATTACAAGGCTGAACTTGACATGAAATGCCATCCATCTACAGAGAAATCTTCTTACAGTGTTACAGTCTACAGTATTTCTCTGTTGCAATCGGGATATCACAACAATTAACCCCGAAAATAACAACGAATTCACTAACGTTACCAGACTGCTGTTGTGTTTGCGATAAGAAAAAACACTAAAGTGCGGACTTTTCTTATTTCAATCTGGCAACACAACAAACATTCCTAATATATCGGTATAAATACGGCACTACAACATACAAA